GGGGGTCTCCTGGGGGCTGGGGGTCGTTTGCGAGCTCCCGCCTGCTGTCCTAGGGTGAGTCACCGAGGAAGGAGGCGGGAGAAGCGTCCCCCCAGCCAGCTGCCAGCCAGCTGTGCCCCCCCCCCCCGCGCGGTGCCAAGGTCGCGTTGGGAGGTCTTGGATGCGGGGTCCGGATCTCCGGGGAGAAAGGAGGAGTTCGGAAGGGCGCAGCCCAGGCTGCGGGACTCCGCCGGGTCACGGGGCCCGGGTTCCGCGCCCCATCTTACCCCGCCCTCACCCTAAATCCCAGCATCCCGGGATCACCCACCGCGACTGCCGGCCCGCTCCCGGCCGTTCTCCACCCTACCCCGCCCCACCCCGCCCTCCGTCCCGGGAGACCGAAAACCCGGGGTGGAGTGGACGCCGGCGCGCGGCGGCCGGCCCCGGCCCGGCCTCTCGGGGTCCCCAGCCTTCCCGCGCGGGCAGCACCCCCTTCCGGCTCCGCAGTAGGCGGCGAGTTAGGGGGCGCCCACAGTAAGGCCCGCGTCGGCCCTTGCACGGCACGGACTTTGGACGGCTCGCCGCAGAAACCGTACCCCGCCAACACACCCGGTCTGCCTTCGAAGAGGGCCGATCCCGGGGCGCCCGCCCGCCCCGCCGGCCTGCGGCGAGGCGCCCTCTGCTGGACGCTGGGAGGACGGCGGGCGGGCGGCGCCGCAGCCAGGCAAGAAAGGACCCTGCGGCCAGCCCAGGTGCTGGGTCCGATGCCCACGAGTTGGCCCGGCCACCCCTCAAAGCTGGGCCGTGGCCAGAGCAGAGGAAGGAGAGCGCTGTGGCCCCAAAGTCCTGAACTCAGATAGGCAGCTGCACGCGCACGCGCACATTCACTCACACCGTGCATTCACTCACACGCACGTGCACACGCGCACTCACGCGCACGCGCACTCACGCACACTCACACCTTCCTGGCAGTTTCCAGCCGGCCCTGAGCATCCCAGGACCAGGACCGCTCTGCTTCCCTGGGGCTTCCCTGCTCACCTGTCCGGGCTGAGTAACGCCCACGGCAGGTTGATCTCCTTGGAGCTGCCCCAGCGGCGGGTCCCAGGCGGCTCTGCCCAGCGGCCGCCTGCACTCCAGCCCGCCTGCCCTGTGCCCTCCCCTTACAACTTGCGGGTCTCCTTCCCGTCTGCAGTTCTCCGTCCTCTGGGGCGCCATGTTCAACTCCATGACCCCACCGCCGGTCAGTAGTTATGGAGAGCCCTGCTGTCTTCGGCCCCTCCCCGGCCAGGGGGTCTCCACCGCGGGGGCAGAAGGTCAGTGCACAGACCAGCCCTCCAGGACTGGCCGCCTCTCGCCCTCCCGGCTCCTACCTTTGCCCCTTCCCGTCCCTAAGGGGATCTGAGGCCCTATAGCAGATGGGCTTGGAATGTGGGGCTGGGCCTGGCTGGAGTCTTCGGGTCAGGCCTTACCTGTCCTCTGTTCCCAGCCCCCCACTCCCGCTGTCTCTTTCCTAGGCCTGTCTGGTCGGCCCTTCTGCCACCAGACCAACCTCATGTCTGGCCCCCACGGTTACGGCCCTGCGAGAGAGAGCCACGGCTGCGCTGAGGGTGAGGCCGCAGGCACTTCTCCCTCTCCGCCCCTCCGGGGCTGGTCCCGAGGCGGGGGGGGGGG